GAGAGCGGGGGGGCCGAGGACCAGCTGGAAGGAAGCGGGGCGGGCTGGGGGGGAGAGAATGGGGGAAGAAAATCAGCTGGCGGGGAGCGGAACTGACCCGGGCGCGCACAGTCTCGGGGCACTGCCCGTCCCATGCACAGTCCTGGCGAAGCACAAGCAAGTCCGGCCCTGAGGATTCCATCCCGCCCTGTCCCTGTCCCTGCCCCCCTCCTCTCTACTGCGTAGTTGAGTCGCCTGGCTGGTAGACACATTCACACAGCATGAGCGCGTCTACCAGCCAGGCAGTACGCAAGTATGTACTGATACTCGTGATAATAATAAAAAAACTTACTTACTTAATTAGAAAATACCGGACATTTATATTTTCTCAATTTGTTTCCTGGACAGAAAGCTCAAATACCGGAGTGTCCGGTTCAAAACCGGAAACCTGGCAACCCTAACCCCCACCTCTGCGCTGCTGCCTCTGATAGAGCTCCCCACTGCACCACCCACGTGCCTGACATGGGACTCCTGGCCGAGTCGCAAGCCCAGCTACTGAGCTCCTACCCTGCCGCCAGATCTCCCTATTCCTAGGCTATGTGGTCCAGGAACATCCATAGTCTGCTAGACCAGAGAATCCCAGATTAGGGAGATACAACCTATATTAAAATAGAAATAGGTTCTCACTTCAGAATTATTTCTAGTTTCTTTAGTGTAAAGAATGAAGCTGATCTTCATACTCTCTGGAGGGTTGGGTAAACCGGCCAGAAATCTCCCTGGCATTCGAGCCCATGGCGGTTCATTTGAAAAGCAGCCAATTCTTTTGTAGCAGACTTCTTTGCCTGTAGCATATAAAGCAAATAATTAGTATTTTGGAATCCATTACAGCTTGGTGGTACATTTGAAGCTACAGCAACTTTAAAAGAAGCAGACACTAGGCTTTTGGTTTTATGATCAATTTTGAAGTCCAGATTCTGTTCTATACGTCAGTATTAGCTAATGCAGATAATACAGTACAAATGTTAGTTATTAATAGATAAACAGAATGAAAAACCAGGACACTTCTGTGGCAGCGTTTTTCCTTAACATAGTAGAAAATAGAGAGTGGACTTGTAAAAAATGTGTAATGGTGTCATTGCTGCCAGCTCCTGACTCAAAGCAACATGTGTGTATTTCACAGTTCCCAGATGAACTGCATCTCTGACCCTTTCTGATCTTCACGAGGGCATCCAACCTAGATCTCAGGCTCTAGCTGTTATCTTCCTTGGATTGGGATCTTCCCTCTGGCCCAGGAAAGTAGGTTGCAGATTCCTGCAGTTCTCTATCATCTCCTTCGCTGAATTGCTTTCCGCCAGCACCTGTTCTTTCAGGTGCAGTGGCAGGGTTAAGCAGTGAACAGCTAGCTTGCATGGAGCACGCTGTTGTTTAAGCATTTAAGAGAAAACGTAAAAACAATATACTGCTTCAACACATGGCTAGCTTACCAGCTCTCACCCATCTTCCACATGGAGACCCTGATAGGACAAAGTACTGAATTCAGGACCTTTCACGGCACCCGTCTCTCATGAGCACTGTCTAGCGTCAGTCCTTGAACTGGGTGAGAACGACCCTCCCCTCCATTCAGGGCTGTCGCTTGGTGCGCTTTCAAGTCTTTTGAATTAGCCGTCTTGAACCAGGCCAACCAGTATAAACTGTTTCCCATGAGCTAAAACTTCAGAAATCTGGTTACCTGCATTTTTTTAAGCATTGGAAATTGCATTAATCACTCCCTATTGAGTTTAGCTCCTGCAGGATGTACCTTTCAGTTCACCTGTTGAGCCACCCCGCCTAGCCATCACATAAAGATGCAACAATCTTATAAAGTTGATACAGCATCGAACGATTATACTTGTTGGATATTCCATATTTCTAAAGCATAGCATCTCTTAGCCCTAGTCTACACGAGGGAGTTATGTCAAAATAACTCCCCTTATTTCGAAATAACAAGCAGCGCGTCCACACTACCAAGCCTGTTATTTCAAAATAATGGGCTGGTTATTTCAAAATAATAGCTCCTGCTTTTCACGAGGAATAACGCTTATTTAGAAATAGTTATTTCAAAATAGCGGTAGTGTGGATGTCATTCATCCACTCACCACCATCATTTGAAGTAATGTGCTTGCTGGAGCTCTAAGTCGAGGTAGCGTGTCCACATTAAGGGAGCCTGCCTCGGACTAATTTTGAGGCTTCCCTGTAGAGTGGACACTTTCCTAGTGTAGACATGCCCTCATAGAATATGTGTAGGAGTGGAGGATTTCTTTCCTCCTAAGAATGCGGAAGGAATTTATCACAAAATTCTGAGCATTATTTCCTTTGCTCAAAAGAATAGCTTTGACCTCTTACACAAAAAAGTCAAATGAATGTATCTCAGACATTGCATCACATTGAATGCTCATTCCACTGGGCTGTTCCTAATAAACAGTGCACACATGTGTACTAAGTATGTACAGTACATAGGACTTTGCTGACTCGGGCTCTAAAGGTGAACAAGAGGTTTTTATGCATCGCTGGAGCCCTTACAATAAAACTTAAGTGCTGCACAGGCCTTTTGCTAGTTCCCAGTACCAAGTGAACTGCATCTTAAAGTCTCATATAGTATAAAATGAGTTCAGAGGTAAACAAATTTTCATTGTACCCATATTCATTTTTTATTCCATTTGAAGATGACTACTGTAAATCCAACATGTGGTATAGTCATTTATAAATACCATATCTCACCTGCTGTTAGGTTGAGCAGATAAAGTGCAGCAATCCAAATTCCAATCATCTAAAATAAATTAAATAAACACGTGAAGTCCAGGTAACAGATTTTTTTATTTGGATACTTATTGATTTAGATTTATCCATCATGTAAAAAGTGTATAATACACCAGTGTTTTCCCAGCAACCAATATAGCAAGCAATCTAACATCAATTTTCTATGCATTTATTCCTTATGTCCTGCAAAATAAAGGCAGCGTGTCCTAAGGGTGCATTTTAATCTATTCCTGTTTCAAAGCAAGGTAGATCAAAATACACCACAGAGCATTTAGGGCATGGCAGCAGGGTGCCTATGGATGCTCCTGCATGGCAGGTTAGTGCAGGGTAGATTTACACCCCAGCTTTCTGCAGCCTAAGTGATCATGAAGACAGGCTTTAGTGGAAAGTTCTGTTTTCTTGGTGTGGCTCCTTTTGAGTTCACCATTTAATTTCTCTGTTTTTTGCAACGTCATATTTTGAAGGGTTAAAAAAATCAAACTTTAGTCTATACACTTATCCTGGCCCTGCATTCTATGGATGCTCAGTCTTCCACTGCCTTCCCTGGAAGGTTGGCAGCCTCTTGAAGGAATAAATTCTGTCTGAAGTAGATCTTGGAAAATTTCAGACAAAACATTTGAGTTCTTCCCCTTGTCATTCTGCTTTATTTCCGCATTCCCCAGGTACTGCACAAGCCTGGGCTACATGGGCCATTAGTCTGACCTACCATTCCCCTACAAGCTCTCCATGTGGCCTTTCATCCTCTTTTATTTCAGGTACTCTCTGCAAACTCCCCACCCCTTTCTTCATGCCAGGTTTAGCGCACCATGCTTTAGGATTAATACACAAGACCAAATCATCAATTGGTGCTTATTCACTAAGCAATATGGACTTTGATACAACAGTTTATCCCCGCTGAGGGTATGCCTAAGAAGGACACAAGATCAACAGTTGCTAGCTCCTTTCTTTGGCCTACTTCAGTTCCACTCCTTCCAATCCACATAAAATAGCTACAGGAGAACAGCAATGCAGATGAATTTTCCTTTGTAGGCTCCTCTAAAAGAGACAGTAAAAATCACAAATCCTCTCCTGCCAATTCCATCACGTCACACCCCTAGCAAATGCATATGCAGGCTGACCCTGTCCCGTATGTTTTAAGTTCCTTAAGTTCTGATGAAGTTTCTCAACTTTGCCTGTTTATAATTCTGCTTTCTTTTTTCAGACTTGCGAGGCACTGCACAACCCAAATCCCTTTATCTCCTCTAGCATCGTGCCTCAAACTTAGAATGCCCTTTAGTTTTTCAGACCTCTTTTTATGGCCTCTCTGCACTTCATCCCCATGGTATTGCCTAGCATTTAATTAATAAATGAAGTGTCACCGGGGTTTCCACTCTTGTAGTGCAGTTATTAATTAAGTGCCATGCCAAATAGAGAGGATGGAATGTCTTAGAGCAGGGGTGGGCAACAATTTTTTGCCGGGGGCCACGTAAAACATTTTTGAAGTGGCCCCCAGCAAAAAATTATTGCCCAGTCCTGCTCTAAGATTCCATTCTCTCTATTTTTCAGTGGTCCCAGGCCGCATTGGAAGGGGCAGGGCTTCAGGTGGAAGTGGTGGGGCCAGGATACTTGCCTGCTTCCCCACCCGCAGACCATGATTGGGCTGGCGGTGAGGGAGTGCATGAAGTCTTTGTGTCCCCCTCCCCCCAAAGGTTCTCCCTAGGCACCCATGTCCTTGGCAGTGGGAGGACACTTCATGCACTCCCTGCTTCTGCCCCCAGGCCAATCAGGGCTGGGGGCGGGGGAGAGCGCGCAAAATCTCCTCCTGCACCGTCAGGAACGTGTGGTGCTTTTAAGACAAGTTTCTAAGGAAACTCTGTACGCTCCCCCCGCCCAGGACAATCAGGGTTTGGGGTTGGGGGAGCGCATGAAGTCTCCTCCCGCCCTGCCAAGAGCGCATGGCTAGAGACATAAGAACATAAGAACAGCCATATTGCATCAGACCAAAGGTCCATTTAGCTCACCACACTGTCTTCCAACAGTGGCCAATGCCAGGTGCCCCAGAGGGAATGAACAAAACAGGTAATCATCAAATGATCCATCTCCTATCACCCATTCCCAGCTTCTGACTAATAGAGGCTAGGGATGCCATTCCTGCCCATCTTAGCTAATAGCCCTTGATGACCATGAATTTATCTAGCTCTGTTTTTGAACCCTCTTACAGTCTTGGCCTTCACAACCTCCTCTGGTAAGGAGTTCTACAGGTTGACTGCACTGTGTGAAGAAGTACTCCCTTTGGTTTGTTTTAAACCTGCTACTTATTAATTTAATTTGATGATCCCTAGTTCTTATGTTGTGGGAGGAGTAAATAACTCTTCTTTATTCACTTTTTCCACCCCAGTGATAATTTTATAGACTGCTATCATATTCCCTCTTAGTCACCTCTTTTCCAGGCTGAAAAGTCCCAATTTTATTATTCTCTCCTCAAATGGCAGCCATTCCACGCCCCTAATAATTTTTGTTCCCCTTTTCTGTTTCCAATGGCAAGATACCTTTTTTTGAGGTGAGGCAACCACATCTGCACACAGTATTCTTAGACGGGCTTACCATGGATTTATACAGAGGCATAATGGCAGCCATTCCACGCCCCTAATAATTTTTGTTCCCCTTTTCTGTTTCCAATGGCAAGATACCTTTTTTTGAGGTGAGGCAACCACATCTGCACACAGTATTCTTAGACGGGCTTACCATGGATTTATACAGAGGCATTATGATAGTCTGTCTTATTCTACATCCCTTTCTTAATGATTCCTAACATTCGGTTTTTGTTTTTTTTTCTCTTTTGACTGCTGCTACACACTGAGTGGATGTTTTCAGAGAACTATCCACAATGGCTCCAAGATCTCTCTCTCTTAAGTGGTATTAGCTAATTTAGTCCCTATTATATTATACATGTAGTAGGGATGTGAATGGGTAACCAGTTACCCGGTAAGCAGCCTATGTGAGGTTGCTGCTTTCGGCCCCACACAGGGCCAGCAGAGTCCACCTGCCCTTTAGTCGGTTAACCAGTTAAATGTGTTTAACATGATGTTTAATCGGTTAACTAATTAAACAGAATTTTATATCCCTAACATATCGCTAGGATTATGTTTTCCAATATGCATTACTTCGCATTTATTAACATTAAAATTCCTCTGCCATTTTCTTGTCCAGTTTTGTGAGATCCTTTTGAAGCTTTTCACAGCCTGCTTGGGACATAACTCCCTTGAGCATTTTAGTATCATCCTGCAAATTTTGCCACCTCACTGTTTACCCCTTTTTCCAGATCATTTATGAATATATTGAATAGGATTGGTCCCAGTACAGACCTCTGGAAGCCACTACTAATTATCTCTCTCCATTCTGAAAACTGACCCAAGTTTAATTCCTTTCTCTGCCACAAATGTCCTGGGTGACCTTGGATAAGTCACTTAGTCTCTCTTTCTCATCTGTATAATGGGTTTAATAGTCTTATCAGGATAAACACATAAAAGATTGTGAAGTGCTCTTATATTACAGTAACGGGGGTTATATAAGTACCTAAGGGTATGTCTACACTACAAATATATTACAGTAATGGGGGTTATATAAGTACCTAAGAGAGAGAGAACTAGATCTTTTCCATGCTATATCTTTGTTCCTATCTTAGGCTGCTGTCCTGGAATGGTTTATGTCAGCTGCTGTGGTGCTGTTTTCTGCTCTTTCTGTACAGATCATATTACAAATTCTCCAAAGCAGGAAAGATGTTTCTTTAATGTGTCACAGTCACCAGATCAATACAGTATGTCTAAGTGTTCACCTGTTGTCTGTTATACTTCAATTTAAAGCCAAGGATCAGGTTCATTGGAAGGAAACAAGTAGATAAAAGCATGCCAGGTGATTACAGTTAATATTATTGCAAACTCAAAACAAAACCCTTGATGATGGAAATACTCAAAAGTACAAAGTTCTGTGCAGAATAACATGGCTCTTGAATGCCGTACATCCCCTCTTACCTATGTGATCACCCAGTTCACCTCTAAAAAATAATTACTTGGAAACATGCCTGAAAAAGAAACTGATAGTGGCCTCTTCTCTAGGCACATCCACCCCCAGTAGCTCAGATTGGAGATGGCACAGTAGGTTCCTAGTTAGCTGCCCAGGCTCTTCTAGACACTGAAAGCTGTTGCACAAAGAATTGTATGATTTGCTGGTGATGTGAAGAGTGAAGTAATCTGTGTAGGAAGTGAAGGATTTCATCCTGCCTACTCCTCCCACATATTTGCAAAGTAATCTCTAACTGCTATTCAAAATACATCTCAGAGGGGAGCATCTTGACATTGGTCAGTAGGAATTCTATGGGTGAAATTCTCCAAGATGCAAACTGACTTTTTAAATAAAGGCTAAACATGATAAAAACTTTAAATTTAGGCATATCAGCATTCCAGTGGAGCAAAGGTCCTTGGAAAATGTCTTGTGGACTCTCCTCAAACTCAGCAGACATAGCGAAAGCAATAATTAGGTCAGGGTAGAGCAGAGCATTCATTCACATCACTTTGTCTGGCATACGTAAGAATGAAGGCTCTCTAATATCCACTGATCTCCTAAATTATATAGGAATCTCTGCATTGAAACAGTGACCCAGAATAGTTGCTAGGGGATGTTTTTCAAAGGTAATGAATGTGGGGAATGAAGATGCTAAGTACAGACGTATTTGCTCATAGTTGGAGACCATGCATCAGGGCTTGTGATTTCATAATGTTAATGCTATAGCCTGATGAACAATCAACTGCAATTAATATGATAGTAATGTAGGGTAGGCGAGAAGGCGACATTAATCCATAGCCACTTGTTTGGGCATAGATCATAGTCTAATGGACTCAGAAAACATAGTGATGAAAAAAACAAAACAACCCATTCAACCCAGTTTTTCATCTTGCCAATGTAACATTGTTCCATGCAGCATTGTGTCTAGTCTAAACCCAAGTCTACACTCAACCTGGAAGGTCAGCCTAAGGTACGCAACTTGAGCTATGTAGAATATGTAGCTGGAGTCGGCTTACCTTAAACTGAGTTTGCTGGCATCACAGCGGAAGGCTGATGGGATCAAACACTCCCATTGGCTTCCCTTACTCCTTGAGACTGCGAGGAGTACAGGCTCCAGCTGGAGCTGCCCTCCGCATTCTATTTAGTGGGTCTATACTATACCTGCTAAATCAAACATCAGAACATTGATCTCTGTTGCAGCGAGTGAAGACATGCCCTCTTAGAGGATTCCACCACTTTCCTGCACTGGGATTCCAAGGTAAAAAAGGACCATTATGATCTTCTAGTCTTGACCTCTACGTAGCAAAAATCATCAAAGAGTTGGGCAAGTGTCTATGCTATCTGTGGATTCTTCCTCTGTTTTATAGTCATTGCCTAAAATGTCTTGCTGTTTCTTACTTTCTATTGGCGCTTTTTCTCCTTGTTTCTCTGTCAGTAGCTAGGCTCCTGTTAATCTCTGGCCTGTTCTCAGCCTGATCCTACTTGTCAACTAGCCAGCCTCAAAAAAATGCAGGATCACTTTTGCTGGCAATCTGCCTGAGTGTCTTCATAGATGATTGCATAATCGATTTTTTTTCCCTGGTTGCTACATTCTTCCTTCTAATATCTCCATAGTAATCCCATTGATTCTTTAATCTTCTGATGCCTCTGACTTGTCTTTGTACTCCATTTAATTTTGCATCCTTGGTGACTTCAAATATTAGTCATTGCTAGAGCAGATCGTGAAAAGGTTTTCCCGTCCAGCAAAGTTTTTTGAGATTTCAAATATGTTCCTCTTTTGCACTGGGATGAAATTTTTCATAGGGACACACACACAGCCCCAACCCAGAATAGCTAATATCATGATGCTCCAAATCAGACAAAGCTGGGGCTTAACCAGGGCTCTCCTATATCTCTATAGGAGTGCTCCAGTGGCTAGGCGGATGGTGATGGATTTTTCGCAGTGTCTCCTGTTGGAGCTATTCCACTTTGTATAAATAATTAATTAGTCATTGAGCTAGAGTACAAGCAGATATAGAGTACACTATAGCACAGCCATTTGGACACTGATGTGGGAAACCAGGGTTCAAGTCCTTGCCCTACAGCAGGGATTTGAACCTGTGTGCCCCATTTCCCAGGTGATGTGCTAATCTAGAGGCAGATGGACAGAGATTCACAATTCTAGATCTGAGAGACCTTTCTGACCAACATTTTGTTGACTGTGACCCTTTTCCATGAAAAGCTTTGGTTCTGATAAATCGATATTCTCTCACAAAAACCTGTTTCATCAAAAAATTCCCTACCAGTTCTACTTGTGCCCCTATATATTTGCCTCTGGAAAGGAATCCAGATTCCACTTACTGCAGAGACAGCTTTTCTGATTTTCTTTCAAATTGGGACCACATACGCCCACCACCCTCAATCCCAGTTACCTTACATTCTCTCTCCAACGGCGTCTCATCACTTGTTGGGATGTGTCTGTGTAGACACTGTAACCTCTTTCTTTCAGAGTTTCCACAGGTAGCCCTCAGGACTTGTTTGTTTGCTTCTCACATGTTGGCTGAGTCACTTCACTGTCCTGCCTCAGATACATTCCTTGGTTAGCAGTAATGGATCCCACTGCCCCTGCATGGAAACAATCGAACACAACACACTTCCCTTCTTATTTGTAGTCACTTACCACTCTAAATCCAGCATTTGTGGTTGCTTTGTGGCCTCTGTTCTGCTCACTTCCTCTGCTTCCTGCTCTCTTTCCTTTAGACTGTGTCTCGTCTGTTTGGGTATGGACCCACCCCTAAAATGCCTAATTATGTATTTAGTGTGGGGGAGTGTGAATCTTTGTGATGATCACATTCTCATTGTATCCTTGTTCCACCCTTTCCTGCATTTTCTTTTCTTAACATCTGCTTATCTTACACCTATTAACATTTCACCATTTACCTAATTAAATGAAGGGTCAGGCCTTTTAATCTTTGGGGTAGAGACTGTGACTTTTTTGTGTAAAGTGCTGTGCTAACTATGACATTATATACATAGTCATAAAAAATGTAGGAGTTGAGAGCATACTACTGCCACTTCTGTTCAATGACCATCTTGGACCTGATACTGCTTCAATTAAGTCAATGGCCAAACTTCAGTGGACATAGACCAGTGCATGTTAGTAATGAACAGTATATACTCCAGTAATTGGGCATTGATTTGAATTAGAAATGAAGCACCATTGATAGCTTCACATCTTGCCAGACTGATGTTGGTGTCTGATAAGGAGGGGATTAGGTCCTGAGAATGTTAGAGATTGAAGGAGGAAGGGGTTTGTGCCAGATTTTTTAAAATGAAGTCATTTGCCAACATTTTTGAAAGAGACTGGTGATCTTTGGGTCCTTTTATTTATAGTGCTCAATTTATGATGCCTTAAAGTGGTAGGCACATACCCTCTGAAATCAGGCCCCTTTACGATGTCTTAAATTAAGAACCCCAAATCACTGGATACTCTTCAAAATCTCACTTGCTGCCTGCACAGTGTATGTACTCACTCTCACCACAGATCATTAGACAGAGGCATAGTTACAAATCTTCTGAAACAGCAACTTTACCATACTAAGAAATAAAAGGAACTTTTCAGGCTCTGCTATGAACAAGAACAAATTTGGTCAAATGAATCCAACTGATGCCTGGTTTTCACCTGATCTAAATTTCTGGAAGGGCCATATATAGAAAAGCCTGTTTGACAAGATCATGGATATTTTGAGCATTGAAAGGAGTTTTATTGATGGGGTATCGGAGGAGAACCTGACATCATATATATTTAATAAAATACCACCGAGGATAACTGGGATGAGTCAATAAACCAATGGCTTTGTTCTCTAGCCCAAACAGCAGAATTTTTGTGAAGTCTGCGTTAAGAAGGAGCTTGGACAACTGGACAACAGGATCTAGATTTAAATTAGTCTTGGTCTATTTTTATGGATCAGAAAGATTACTTTAGAGGAAGCGACTGGTTTTCGTATAAATATCTCTGATGTCTTGTGTTGATTGGAGGGGAGAGGTATGGCCTTGGCTTCATGCATTCTTTAAGGATAGCCCACCAGCAGTTAAAGATTTATTAACTCCCAGTTAATATACACTATATGAAACCAAATATTTTATCTAGGACCATGGGTAGCCTTCAGACCAGACTCTGGACTGCCCTACTGTAAACCAGCTAAAAAAACCAAGAGGGCGACTTGCATTAACATAAACACTAGATTGTTACACAATGCCTCGGCTTCCTGTGTTGTAACATGACTGATTCTTTGGCCCCAAACATTCTTGCACTAATTGGAATGAAAGAGGTGTGTTTCATTCAGTGGAGCAATGTAGACGTGTGCTGTTTGCAGAGAAAATAATCATCCTTTAGCAGGAGTTTTGAGAGAGAGAAAATGCCAGATCTTCTAGAAATCTGGCTTAAACAGCCACCTGGGACTTCCCAATTACTCCTACTCTCACAAACTCCACTAATCGTGGAAAAGATATCCTGTTTCTAGTCAGCACTGTGTAGAACCCAGTGATGAGGTATATAAATCCCTCCCTGGCCCCAAAGGCATTAACAGGCAAAACTGGGCCCAGGTAGCTTCACTTCTCCAGGCATGCCGAGCATATGCCAACCAGGGAAGCAGGTTAAGAGAGAGCTCAAAAATCCAGAGCAGGAGTGATGGATGGGCTGCATGAATGGGAAACCTTTCTCCAGGAAGCCATGCAGGAGGCTGAGAGGGGACCCCAGAGTGAGAACGGCCCACAGGAAATGCCTTCTTTTCCACCACGCTTTTGAGAACCAAAGGCTCCTTTGGATTCCTTTTTTTAAAAACTGAATTGGAGGGGCTGTGCTCTAAAAAAGGGGATCGAGAGGTAGGCAGTAGCTCTCAGAAGCAAACTTAGACTTGCTGAAAGGAGGATGAGTTGGTCCATGGCACCCTGGGTAGTGACTCAGTAGAGAGAAAGAGCCTGATTCCCCTAGCGCTCCCCCTTACAGGTTGAGGCTTAGCTGTGGGTGGAAAGCTGAAGATTCATGTATGGTAGGTTGCTGTAATTTGTGTCCCAAGGGGATGTGTGTGTGTATCTTTTTCACACCCCTAAGTTACATAAATTAAATCGACTTAAGCAGTAGTATACGCCTGCCCTTAGTAAAGAAATGGTGTGTATTGTTTATAGAGCACAACATGGGGAACATGATGCTAGGTAGTAGGTGAACATAGTACAGGCAGTCCCCGACGTACGCGGATCCGACTTACGTCGGATCCGCACTTACGAACGGAGCTTTCTCGCCCCGGAAGTCTGGGCGAGAAAGCCCCGTTTGTAAGCTGCTCCGGTGCCCCTGGTCTGCTGGAGACGTCTCCAGCAGACCAGGGGCACCGGGCGGGTTCCCGCGCTTCTGAGGCTTTGCAGCTAGTGTGCTCCCCCCCCCAGCAGACCAGGCTTTTGTTTTGGACTCTGGGGCAGAGCAGCTGGGGCGCTGCCGATTGGTCCTGCAGCGCCCGTGGGCACTACTGGACCAACCCGGCAGCACCCCAGCTGCTCTGCCCCAGGTCCTGATTCAGCCGCTGCTGGTCAGTTTCAGCAGCGGCTGAATCAGGACGTCTGGGGCAGAGCAGATGGGGTGCTGCTGGGTTGGTCCAGTAGCACCCCAGCTGCTCTGCCCCAGGTCCTGATTCAGCCGCTGCTGGTCAGTTTCAGCAGCGGCTGAATCAGGACGTCTGGGGCAGAGCAGATGGGGTGCTGCTGGGTTGGTCCAGTAGCACCCCAGCTGCTCTGCCCCAGGCATCCCCAAGTCAGCTTCTGCTGAAACTGACCAGCGCTGACTACAGGAAGCCCCAGGCAGAGTTGCTCTGCCCCGGGCTTCCTGGAATCAGCTGCTGATCAGTTTCAGCAGCAGCTGACTTGGGGACGCCTGGGGTTCTTAAGTTGATTCTGTATGTAAGTCAGAACTGGCGGTCAGTTTCAGCAGTGTCTGAATCTGGATGCCAGTTCCGACTTACATACAGATTCAACTTAAGAACAAACCTACAGTCCCTATCTTGTACGTAACCCGGGGACTGCCTGTAATCCAGAAGCAACTAATAGACTCAAATGGCTTGGCTTAAAAACTGGGGAGCAGCAAAGCGAAAATTAAAGAAGTACACTGAATGCCGCACTGATTCTTACTTATTGTTCTAGGATGATGGGAAGGCAATATTGAGGGATTTAGGGATAATGAAACTGCCCAGGAGGAGTCAGAGTCCTGGCGAACTGAAATAGGCCCTATGCTGAGCAGCAGTAAACACTTTTTTCTCCCGAAGGCTAGGTATTGGAGGAATCTCCTGGTAGAGCGGGGGTTCTCAAACGAGGGGTTGGGACCCTGTGGGGATAGTGAGCTTGCAACCTCCATCCGAAAGCCTTCTTTGCCTGCAGCATTTAGAATTGTGTAAAATATATTTAAAAGTGTTTTAATTTATAAGAGGGGGCCATACTCAGATGCTTGCTGTGTGAAAGAGGTCACCGTTATTAGTTTGAAAACAGTTAAAAATCGACAGAAATATACAATTGTAGTACTAATGGAGGAGGATAGAGACAAGCTCCCAGAAGGGGAGGGGGGTGGAGATATATCTCTTTTGCTGCCACTACTGTGTATAATTGATGTCACATAGATTCTGTCTGAAAAAGGCAAAAAGGAACTTTGGCTCCCAATTGCCTCATCCAAGCCATGAGCCTCACCCGCATGAACTGACCTCTCACTCCCTTTGCAACCTCTGTGTTTTCTCCCAATTCTAGTGTCCTGGGACAAAAATGTGAAGGGAGTATTATTTGCCTTCCTGCTCCACTATCAGATAAGTTATATGAACTACACTTTTCCATCTGTAGGCTCAATGGTGGAAACTCTCCCTCCAACCTAGGGAGAGAATGAAGCAGTTCAAAATGAAATGATATTGAAACACAGTACATATTTTTCTTTGTGCAGAAATCAGTTGGGAGCAAATAATATAGAGATCCTGGGGAGTTATCTGGTGAAGCAGGAACAAACCTAATGCATTTCATGAAGACTTTCTTATCACAAGTGCTGAACGGGGGGGTGTATGTGTGTGGCATATGATTGTGATATTAACTGATAATAGGAAAGGATAGATTTTTACAGGCATTTGTGTGGATGAGTGAGGAAATGTATTTGTTTATTTGTCAAGGCTTTAGTTCTCTAACACAACATTGAAGAACATGACTCTAGCAAGATGTCAGTTTTGAATGATCTGATGATGAAGCTGTATTTTCTGCAAAATTCTTGTCAAAGTTATGTTGTTTTATTGTGGGATGTTAGATGTGCATGAAAGCATCTAAATACTGCACAATGGGAAAAGAGATTATGAGGATCAGAAGGGGATTACTAAGGTTAGAAAGATAATATCCTGTACATTGACTTCACCTAGGTCGGATGTAATTTAGTTAATTAGTTGGTTGATTTGTTTATTTCAGGCTGCTTTTATGCTATTGTTTACTCAGGCATCAGTACACTATAGCCTCCATATTCCGGATATCCCTAATTTGGGAACATCCGTGGCATGGACCCTGGCAGGCGGAACGGTTGTGCGCACTGCCAGTCCCCCTCCTTCCCAGCCAGGGGAACGGCTGTACAGCGACGGCAGTACAGTACAGAAGCTTTTCTCTGCTGCTCCCATAGCGGCATGGACAGTGCCTGCGAGGACAGTGCCTGCGAGCAGTGAGGGACATGGAGCACCAGGTAAGTGACCCACTTCCATCCTCCTCACTCCCTCCCTGGCCTGGCAAAATCTTCGGTCCAGCAAATCCTGTTTCCCAGGGTTGCTGGATTAGAGAGGTGCAAGTGTATTTATATTTATGGAAAATCTATTTCCCCCCCCCCCCCTTTTTT